CTTCCTCCCCAGTGTGACCACAGCCCCCCCTTCCTCCCCAGCGTGACCACAGCCCCCCCTTCCTCTCCACCTGGCTGTAAAGCAGCAGCGCTGGGGACATGCACACCGCTTGTTTGTGTCTCAGTGTCACCTCGTGAGGACTTCCACGTGGGCCCTGTGGGCGGAGGACATCGTAGCCTCTTCATGGCCCTAGGCTCACCTGTAGTTGGCCTAGGGCCCATGGGAATACAGAGAGGTACCAAAGAATAAAAAGGAATGGCCAGGGTGCTTGCCTCGTGTGTGTGAGGCCCTGGATTCCACCTCCATCCCCTCCACAAATTTGAATAAGTAAATAAATTAAAATGTTTTGTTTTGTTTGATGTGGTTTGGTCTTGGTTTTTTTTGAGACAGGTCTCATTTTGCAGCCTAGGCTGGCCTCAGACTTGTGGTAATCCTTCTGCCTCAGCTTCCCAAGTACTGGTGATAGAAATGTGAGACACTATACCTGACGTAAATAAATAAGTGGAAATGTGAGTCCTAGAGTATGTGGTTGGTTCAGGGTGTTCAGTATCCCTGTCCATCTGAAGTCTGTCATGGTGGATGGTTGAGGAGAGCTTCCCACCAGGTCTTGTGTGGTTCTTTCTCACATGCTATCATAGATACAGTGAACTTAGAGGAAAGGTCTAAAGAGTGATGCTTCCTGCCCACCATTTCTCTTACTCTATTTGATATATATATATACTGGTTGTGGTCATGAATGAGTGTTTTTGCCTTTAAAACCAAACAAACTTACAAATTAATATTGTATTCCAAATACCCAAGTGTTGGGTGTGACGGCATATACCTGTAATTCCATCATTGGGAAGGCTGAGACAGAAGGATCAAGAGTTCAAGGCCTCAGCTGTTGAGGTGGTTTAGTGGATAAAACTGCTTGTTGCACAAGCCTAAAGACCTGAGTTGGTCCCCAGAACCCATCATGGAAGGAGACAGCCAAATCCTGAAAAGTTGTCCTTCACGGACATGCTAAGATGTGTGCATGCACGTGTGTGCACACATGCAACCACAACAACAACAATAAAATTCTGAAAAATAGTTTAGTGCCAGCATGGGCTACACAGTGAGTTCAAGGCTAGCGTGGGCTGTATGGTGAGACCTTGTCTCAAGAACAAAAAAAGATCCAAGTAATTCCAGAGTGTCTGGAGTACAAACGGTACTTCCTCTCTTATCCCTCCCATCCCTGTAGGTCTTTGAATTTTCCTTTAATTTTTCTTAATGGTGGCAAGTGTCCTTTATGATCTCTTACAGAATGAATAGAACATGAAGCCGCACTGTTAGGCTACAGTCTTTAGGATCTGGCTAATTCCAGGAGAATAGCTGGACAGCAGCTCCATGTTCTTCTCTGGCATCTCATTTAATGTTTCAAAGGGGAAACTTAAGGACAACTTGTCCCTAAGATATTCCCCCTCAGTTTATGGGTGAGTCCCAGAGAGGTGAGGTGATACATTTGTGACAGATAGACTGAGCCCTGCCACCCTGAGCATTCCCTGGGCATCACAGTGTGTTTTCTACTAGTGTCTACCTGTTTTGATCCATGGAGCCCAATCTTGACAACATCCTGGGAAGCTGGGGCTGGAGTGTGTGTGTGTGTGTGTGTGTGTGTGTGTGTGTGTGTGTGTGTGTGTGTGTGTTAGTATGTGTGTTATTGAAGCTTGGGAAGTGAAGGGAGGTGCTTAAACTCATGCACACACGTCTGGAACCCAGGGCTTTCCCGGTTTGCATTAATGCATCCTGCATTAACTAAGGGGCTGTCGTGTGCCACACCTGTGTAGTGGAGGGTCGGCTTGGCCAGGGCCTTGCTGGTACCCTGTGCAGAGCAAAGTGTTCTAGAGAGATGCTAATCAGCCTCAGAAAGGCTCCAGATCCCAGGTCTGGACCGAGAGGTCTGATTTCTATGTGACTGTGGACATAGAGGGAAGGAGACCTGAGACTTCCTCTGGGCCACTAACTCCTCACGTTCTCATGCCTCACAGTCCCCTTGCCCCACCCCCACTCCCTTCTCTGCTTCTTTGTCCATTTGTCTCCATCTGTCCCTCACCGCGTGCGGTTCCTGCCCCCTCGCTGTCACGTTATCCTCCTTCTCCCTAGTCACATGCTCTCCTTCATTCCAATGCAGGCGTGCTGGTCACCATGACAACAGAGACAGGCCCGGATTCTGAGGTGAAGAAGGCTCAGGAGGAGACTCCACAGCAGCCTGAGGCTGCTGCAGCTGTGACCACCCCAGTGACCCCTGCAGGCCACAGCCACCCAGAGACCAACTCCAATGAGAAGCATCTGCCCCAGCAGGACACAAGGCCTGCTGAACAGGTGTGTACTGAGGCCTGGGGTGCCCCTCTTCCCACCCCACTAGTCCTCCTGGTCCAGTTCTTAGGGCCCTAGTATTTTCTCAGCCAGACAGGAAAAAGGAGATTCAGATGCATTCATGACTTGTTATGTGCTGAACTCTGGGCTGGAGGCATGCTGGTCATTTTATACTTAATTCCCTCAGTCCCCAGAGGGGAGCTGTCATTTCCTCCATTTTATGCTGAGAGGATCTGTGGCTCAGTGCATTGTACCCAATTCCCCAAAGTCACATAGGAATAAAGTGCCAGAGGTGGAGGTCAGACCCCGAACTGATTCCAGATACCGTCCTTTCAACTTTAGTCTGCTGCCTTTTCACTCAAGCTTGGCAAACCCGATAAGACCAAACTCATCCCTGTAAAACTATAGGCGTCTAAAGGACTCATTGAACCCTCCATTTAAGCCTCCCTAATTCA